GTCTAGAGCAGTGCCTATTTATGCAGGTTCCCTCACTATTCTCTTAATTATGAACTATGGAGGAGTGCTGTACCTATTGTTACTTCGCTGTGGAAGACTATGCGGAGCAGAGCACCAACATAGTGGACTTCTCTCCTACCTGTGGAGGTTGTCTGCCTGCCTGCCCCCCCCCCCCCCCCCTCCCCTGGCCATTCCCCTTTCACCTTGTTCTTGAATTTTTTGCTTCCAACTTGTTGTTCCCATCTTCTTCCCCCTTTCTTATCCCCATCTTCTTCCGCCTTTCTTATCTCCATCTTCTTCCCCCTTTCTTATCCCCATCTTCTTCCCCCTTTCTTATCCCCATCTTCCCCCTTTCTTATCCCCATCTTCCCCCTTTCTTATCCCCATCTTCTTCCTTTTTTATCACCATTTCCCCCCTTTCTTGACAACGATTTAATCTTTGTTGTGTGACGCATGGCGACTACTTTGTTGTGTGACGATTTAATCTTTGTTGTGTGACGCAGGTGCTGCTGTGTTGGTAAACGGATGTGCTGTGCATGCGCGCATCAGCGGCGACATGGGCATGGCGACTTCTCCATGGATGGCGGCAGCAGAGTTGGAAATGGTTGGGTGTTTCTCCAGTGCGATAGTCATGCGATAGCCGAGAATCGAGAGGCAACGGCTTGTCCAGTTTAGGAGTTGTGTGCACTGGATCTTGAGTTTCTCCCAAGTTTCAGAAATGGCTTGGGAACGGTCGGGAAACCTCCTGTGAGTGAGGGCCATGCTCCTCATCACTGTGTGTTTGCGAGGCTAGCAAGGGGTCGGATGGATGCGGTCATAAAGGTTGTGACAGCAGAAGTAAACATCACCTGAAATGTACGGAAAGGTTGTGATGGAAATAACCTGAGGTGTGTATAGTTCTGTGAGGCCTTGTCCCACGCTGCAAAGCGATGGCTGTGTGCTGTCCTTTCATTTCTCACATGAAGCACATGTCATTTCTCACGTGAAGCGCATGTATCTTTGCATTGCAGAATTGGTGGTGCAAGCGTTTCGGTTGAAACCTTGGATTTCAGTGTTTTGGCTTGACCTGGTGGCCGTCTTGCGAGATTGATTTGTGCTGTTGGGGCCTCTCCGAGGATGGCTCACTCTTGTCCTGCCTTTTCCATCACTCACCTGATGTGGCGCATGCATGACAGGCTACGTCATCAGGCTTGCATCTCCTGTCACTAGACGAATACAGTGGCGACTTGCCCCTTTGACTGGGTGGTTGTAGGGCATGAAATAGAGGAGACCGCTTATGGTTGTCGCATTTCTCTGAATGCCGCCCCTTTTGTAGATGCTGGGGTGTTTGTTAAATGGTGTGTGGAACAGATGCACAAGGTTCACGGTTGACTTGATTGGCAGGCGGGACGCAAAGAGACGAGGCTGTGAAGGGTGTTGTCGTCGCGGAGATGAAGCTTGAGTAGGTTGAGTAGGGTGGGGAGGGCGAACATCCTCTTGCAGAAACGTGAGTGTCGAATGCGGGAGAAGAGGCTGTGAAAGCGGTTGTTGTGGCAGAGTTGAAGCTTGCGCAAACCGCTACAGTAGTACGTCGGAGCCTCTTTTGTTCGAGGCGGATTCCCACTGCCTGCTAAGTTTTGCCGAAACGCCAGCGCAACGTTTTGTTCTAGTTTTGGCTGGTGCCGCCAGTCATTTTGGTCCGGTTGCCCCGAGCCTCCATTTTTTTCGGAGTGAATCAGTCGTAACTCTCAAGTTGGCTGGGGCTGTATACTGGTGGTTTAAGTAGGGCGGAGGGCAAACATCCCCGCACACAAGGAGAAAAGAGGCTGCGAGGGGGAGGCTCATCGTGGCGGAGGTGAGGCTTAGGGGGGGGGGAGGGGGCGTTAAACATCCTCTCGCAGAAGCATCTGGTGGCAGTTTGCCTGGCTCTCTGCAGTTCTGGCTCACTGAGGAAAACGAGGCTGTGAGGAGGAGGCTCATCGTGGCGGAGGTGAAGCTTAGGTTAGTGTAGAGGGGGCAGAAGCATCTGGTGACAGTTTGCCTGGCTCTCTGCAGTTTTGGCTCGCTAAGGAATCTTCGCTGTACCACAGCTGTCTGTTGTTGCATGAAATTGTGGGTGTCGTACGTTTGTGGAAAAAAAGTCGCTGGTTTCGTAGTCTGTCTTGGGAAATGGTTTCTCGACTTGCAGCTGATTTCTGTTCTGTTTTTTTTTTTTAATCTTATATCTCTCTGAGTAGACAGCTACATTCCGGTAAGGGGAATGCGCGTGTGGGTCTTGCACAGCTATGATGGGCATTCGCAATTCAGTACAGGATAAAGCTGATAAGCTTGCGAGAAACGAAGCTCGCTTAACCTCGTCCAGGCAAGTTGGGTCCTTCCACCCTGGGGATGTGATAAACAATTTTTGGATGCGATGTGGCCTATATATGAGGTGTGGACTGTTTCAATCAAAACAGGTTGGTGAGGTATATGGTCAGTCCGGGGTGTCTCTGGCGATCCAGGTCGTCTTGTTTGAAGGTTTTCTGATTTCCGTGTGTGAAACCCCTGGGAAAAGGTTTTCTGATTTTGACGAGTGCACTCACCCCTCCCAAATCCCTCTCCTCCCTCCCCCCCCCCTCTATCAAAACAGGTTGGTGAGGTATGGCCAGTCTGGGGTGTCTCTGGCGATCCAGGTCGTCTTGTTTGAAGGTTTTCTGATTGCCGTGTGTGAAACCCCGGGGAAAAGGTTTTCTGATTTTGACGAGTGCACTCACCCCTCCCAAATCGCTCTCCTCCCACCTCCTCCCCCCCCCAGAGCTCCCCCCTTCTTCGCCCCGCCGCCCCGTTTCTTAAACCACCCCGTTATCCGCCTCCTCGAAAGTGCCCCCCTCCCTGTGAGTCCGGGTGGGTTTTTCGGGGGGACGGCGACCGTTGCCAACTGGCAGGCCTAGTCCCGCAATTTCCAAGCGCCAACTTCGGCGATTTTTCGTGCTCAGAAGAATTCACAGAAAATTCTAAAATTTGAGGGTCCTTAGATTAGGTCGTGATCTTTCCAGGAAAAATAACATAAAATCTATATATAAAAAAAAAAAAAAACATTTTGTCAGTGAAATAATCGCTGCGCTGCTTCGGCGCATTTTCATTTTTGCCACTGTAAAATGTGTCGGCTAACAGAAGAAGTATGACCACTTTGGTGATTTTTCATGCTCAGAAGAATTCACAGAATTTGTTACGATCCTGGCCAATTTCAAAGTGCAAAATCACAAGAAAGCACAATTGCAAAAAGAAATGAATGAACTTGAGGGGAGAGAGAGGGACAGAAGAAGAAGACGAAGAAGGAAGAAAGAAGAAGAAGACGTACACCAGCAAAGACCAATGATAATTCCCCTGCTTCTCACCAATATCCTCCTCCTTTCCTGCTCCCCTCTTTATTCAAACAATAAATAATAATATTATTATTATTAATAATGACGAATGGCCGAACCAGAATCAATGTCCGAATCCCTCGTCTACTGCAGGCACAACATGAGGTCCACCATAGCCATGGCCGCCTTTCTCATTCCTCTTCATGAAGGTCGAGGCTATGGGGGACCCAACTAGGGCCTTGCCCTGACATGCAAAATACAACACAAAGCAGCTATGGCTGCTCCTACTCAGGCCACCATGCCTGACTCGGCCTCGAAGCTTCTTGATGCCACTCTACCCCAAGGGGGGTCTTCCAGATGCAGCGCCCACCAAGGTGATGAAGATGCTGTCCACCATAGCCAGGTAAGTACCCCTGGCGCTCCTCTCCCTTAGCCCCCTTCTTCCTCCGCCTCCAGCCCGAGCTCCTCCACCATAGCCAACGTGAAGAGCTGGGTGCTCCTTCCCCAGCAGCGCTGCTCCACCATGCGCTCCAGCAGCGTGTCGTCGAAACTTGCATGCAGCAAACGAGGCGCACTTCGCTCCTCCCTCGAGATATAGCGGCCAACTTTGAACTTGCCTCTTGGGCGGTGACTCCCAGGTCGCATGGCCTCCAAGCACCTGGTAGCGCCCTTTCAGAGGGATCAATCCCCTGTACAGGCCCTAGAGTCAGGCTACTTGGACTGGTAGCCGACAAACCTAGCCTACAACTACGGGCCCTCTAAAAATGCCAACTTTTGTCTTCTTCTGCTAGGCCTCGAGTACCCGACACATCTACCGCTACTTGATGTGGTACCGGTGTTGGGGCAGAAACCCTGACAAGGGTATCTGCCCGGTGTTTTTAAATGTCGGACGATGTCCGACTTAGTAAATGGTTATTCGGGCTTCATAACTTGATGAGATGGGTTATCTGCCGTAAGTTTATTCAAACCTGACCTATGACTGAGAGATTAAAACTTATTGAACCTAAGACCTGACGCTGCAGCATATGGTATCGGCGGTAAGAACCGGTAGCGTGACCAGGTTTCTTCCCATGTTTGGTAACGCCGCACGGACGTACGACCGCAAAATATGATAAGGGGCCGATGCGCTCGACACCGGCCTACCTGCTACTTGCGTGTTTCTCCCCGCTGCTCTAAGTGTCGCGGGCCTATTCCTGCCACGAGTGTTTTCCCCGCTGCAACCCTCAAGGTCACGGCCACAGGTAAGTATCGGCCCTACGGGCCTCCCAAGCAGGCAAGTACCCTCGCTGGTCACACACACACTCAAGCCGTCAAGCACTCAGACAGGCATGCAGACCAGCAAGCACGAACACACACAGACTTAGAAAACCCAGCAGAAAGAGGGAATCTCAGCAAGGTATTCATTCCAGCGGCCGTAGTCAGAAATCAGCTGTGTTCTCAGTCCATGTCTGGGCAGGTCCTTTACAAAATCTAACAAAGGTCCGTAGATTAGGTCATATGATATTTCCAGGAAAAAGTAAGAAAAATTCAAAAAAATCATTTTTCCTGTGAAATAACCGTCGCGCTGTTTTCGGCACAGTTCCATTGTTGCCACTCTGGGACCGAGGCCAGGCCCCACACAGTCCTACCGGTAGGCCGGGTGGCTATTGGAAAAATGGCCTTCCGGCCGCCGGGGTTTTTAAAGGCGGCTAGAGGGGTGGTTTAAACAACCACTCCACCCGACACCGAATTCCGCTGAGTTTGGAGCGGGTCCTTAGGGGGTGTGCCGACCGGGTGGCGCAGGCGGGTCCAGTCCTGCAATTTTCACGCATTAACTTTGGGAATTTTTCGTGCTCAGAACAATAATGAAAGAAATCTGAAAATTTGACATCCTGTAGATTACGTCGTGATCTTTCCAGGAAAAATACCAGAAAAAAAAAAAAAAAAAAAATCTTCCAGACCATGAAATAAATGCTGTGCAAATTCGTCACATTTTTCATTTTTGCTACTCTACCGGGTCTCCACACTATGCTACCGGTAGCCCTCGTGAACCTGTGCTACCGGTCCCCCGACTACCGGTCCCCCGACTTTCACAATGTCGGGTAGAGTGGTGGTTCAAGTGCTTTGCAGGTACGAAGTAATTAATGCCTATGTTTTCTCTTTCACAGTGATGTCGTTAGAGCTTATTGTTATATGGTGGCGCACACCAGTCTATACCTGTCTCTTATACACATCTAGATGTGTATAAGAGACAGGTCTAGAGCAGTGCCTATTTATGCAGGTTCCCTCACTATTCTCTTAATTATGAACTATGGAGGAGTGCTGTACCTATTGTTACTTCGCTGTGGAA